TTACGGCAATTCTAAATTACTTTGATTGCTTAAGTAACTATCAATGTGGAAAGCATTTTTGCTGATGAAATAAAGTTAAGAAATTAATACTACTTATCATTCGATTTCAATAAATGTTCAATCAGGTACGAGGTTTTACTCAGTTATTAAAGCCGATCACAACAAACATACACGTGTCACTGTTGATGTATTTGTCTTAATACATAGTAATCAGCTATATTTTATTTGAAAATTCATTAAGTATACCAGACAGAGTCTGGTAAAATCAATCTACGAATACACGATTTTATAATTTTTTTATTACTGTATAGAATGCATAAATGAATTTGTTTTGTAGTATATCTGGCAGTTTAGTTTCAAAATTATTAAATATCATATCAATTTGATAGAGTTTTTCGATAAATTATTAAAGTTTTTGTGTTCATATTGAAGTGATATCGTTAAAATATNATCAATTTGATAGAGTTTTTCGATAAATTATTAAAGTTTTTGTGTTCATATTGAAGTGATATCGTTAAAATATTACTTTTCTTATCCACTTTTGAAATGCGAACCAAGAACTTAACGGTTATCTGCAAAGTAAATTCATTTCCCGTGCCTAATTTCAAATTATTCTGCACCATTCAATTAGGAAAATATCATTCGAGCAAATTTAATGATTAATTAAAAGCCGAATAAAAGTTATTGGATTTTATTATTTTGTGACGCATTCCGAGACAACTATTTAAGAGTAAAAATCATGTCGACTGAAAATACAAAGTAGGTACGCGCGTTGTTTACTATAAAGTTTTCCGAGTTTTGCATTTTGTGTATAATATTATACATTATACATGGATGTTTAAGACTTGGTGATGTCTACGTAAGAGATAATAATGATGCAATGGCATGACGGAAACGGATTGGGATTTGTTTACAGTTGTTTTATGGCGATACAGTGTCGGCATGAATGTTTAATGCCGAAAATGGCAGTTTGAATAAGGGTTTTGTTATTCATGGTTTGGGAATAAGAACGGGTCCCTGAACATCGCACACACTGACTAAACCACGGCCAATCGAAAATATCATATTTTGCGCTTTCACACTGACTCGCATCACCACCTCCTCAGCCTCTGCCACCGCCTCCTTTATTCATTTTCATTTTACACGTTTTTGACACCGCGCCGTGACAAACGTGCTTGGCTAGAACGGATTCCACATAACCCCGTGTGTAGTTTTTTACTTAATTGATGTTTTCTGTATGCATAATACATAATTTTTATGATCACAACGCGCGGCACGGAGAACGATTTCGCTAAAGCATTAAAGAAAGCACCGAGTCTATAAATAACACTAATGGTATACCGATACGAAATAATTCTGACAAATTAATGGTCGAAAGTGTATATCATTGTTACTTTAACGCTCAGTTCAAGTAGAATATGCATCTGAGTAGTTGTAACGTACTGGACTCTTTTTAAATTCAACGAAGATCCGTGTAATCGTTACTGTCATATATCTCATTTAGAACATAAGTATTACTTAAATATTACTTACTTTTGAGAATCGATAGTAAATGCAGCACCATAAAATCTATAATCAATCAATATAAGGGTGGATGGAAAAAAGTCTATTTTCGCAAATTTTAATAAAAACCATTTTAACATTATTTTATACGTTAAAATAGGCGCTTTCTGAAGATTTGAGATTAGTTTTTAGTATTTTCACTAAAAATACCTCAATAAACAAAAAACTACCTCTGTTGTTCAATTTTTGGTCAAATATTATGATTAGTATATATAAATACATACAAATTACTAGATTTAATATATTAATACATTGTTATCACCCAGCCATCAGCCATTCACGCCAACACTTGCTGTTGAAGAACGCTGAGTCTTTTCCAATAAAGTCTCCCTGTAATTATGAATAATTAGCCTCTTTTGCTTTTAAGCACAGTTGTCCTCTTGCGTAATAACACGTTTTCGTGTTATGTTTTCGCCTAAACAGTCCGATACACACAAATCGATAACAAAAAATGAAAACATAGCAGATAACTGACCACGAGTCATCATGACCCACCGGTACGTGGCCATGTTTAAACTCATTACAACAGGCATCCTAACTAAATTAAACATCTTAATGTGAACAGTAAGACTTTTAGTGAACCGTCTACTAGCAAAGAGACCATGACAGCTAATGCAGACCAAAAATCGCAAGACCTACTGGCAGCAGCTTTGAAAGGACCTAAAGTCTTAATTTTAAACTAAAGAAACATAGTGGCGGTCAGAGTATATTAAGAATATTTCAAATCATTAACAGTCATTGCTTATATAATTTTATAATCCTCGAATGACACCCCGAATAAAAGTAATATTCACTTTTATCAAAACACCTTTCATTTTTTTTAATTTTAATTTTTAGAAGATAGTTTAATTTGAAGATTGCCATTAAAAAAAATAAAGTTGATACTCTTATAAGATATAAGGAATGAACCTAAAATTTATTTTATAACAGATAAATGGAAATACATATTTAACTAACAAAAATCAAGAAAATAATTTTCAAAAAACTTATTATTTTATAAGTACTGAGTATCCAGCTTTAAAAGAATCACCTAACATTATTGTGACGTAAGTGGTAATATAATGATTTCATTTTGCCTACTATCTGCCAAAACAAATAAAACATTTACAATTTGAATATATATTTATATAAGAATAATTTTATAGTGATGAGTGTGTGTGTTTTTATATCTTGTTGCTAATATTTTAAGATAGAACCAGGCTTGTTTTATTTAACTTATTAATTGTCAAAAACTCAAATCATATCTGATTAATATTACTAGTACTAAAAATTCAAAAAAAACTTTTATCAACTCAAGAAGAATTTAGAAAAAAAAGATAATATCAACGGGTGTGGTACCACAACCTTGAAAAACTTAGGCCAAACCGAAGCGGCAACTATATACCGTGTATAATAACAGATAAAAAAGTCAATTTAAGATTTTTAAAAAAATCAAAGTTATTTNTAATAACAGATAAAAAAGTCAATTTAAGATTTTTAAAAAAATCAAAGTTATTTGTCATCTCTTAGAATAGCAAAATAAGTTTAATTTTATATTCAGTATAAGTTAGATTCATGTAACTTGTATGGAAATCGGTGAGCACTAATTACTGTGGCAAATTTTTTAAAGGTATTATAATATAAGAAAATCGTGAAGTTCTACATTTTTAAAAAAGTAATAACGGTGTAATATTGATATTTAAAAAAATGCGCAAAAAGACATTATCATATTGAATTTTTTTGGAGTGGGAATCTAACCTTCTTTTCATGAGTTTCGCATCGAATCTAAAAATAAATTTTACCATTTGAATATTCCTGTTATCTAAATAAGAATCAAAATTTCAAATAATTTTTATTTGTGTTGTTTTTCTTTAGCTATTGCAATAAAAGTCAATTTGATTTATTTATACTTAAAATAAAACTATATTTCATAAAATATCAATATTATAACGTTCTTGCGAAAAAAAAAAATTAAAGCGTTATTTTATATATACATATGTGTTCTTTAAAATTATTTTCGAAAAATTTGTCATTACTTTGTTAATATATTTTTAAAAACTTCCTAAAAAAATTAGCAAACATTAATATATTTTTTTTAATCCAAAGTCTTCATATTCACCCTATCGTCCAATTGCCTTGAACTCTCCTATGTTCTTTACTGTAAAATATTGAGGAATTTTATTTTTGGGGTTAAGAACCAAATTATTATTTTTAATAAATGATAATTCTGATGAATTTCTTTTTTATTCAACCTTTCTAAGTACTATTTTCAGTAAATAGCTAATCCTTATTTAAATTTGAATAGTATGACTAGTTTTAGCTTCAATGCGAAGCTGAGAAGGTATTGGTTTTACTATGATGTGTTTTTTTATTTTTTTGTCTGTTACCACTTTATCTCAGCTCTCATTGAACGGATTTCTTTCAACGATACGTCAAAAGATCACAAATCTTATCTAGTCGAAGACATCTCACAAAAATTGAAAAAATTTCCCTCGTTCCCGTAAATGAGGGAAGACATCCCAAAAATTTACAAATTTAAAAATCGCTAATTTTTGAAATTTAAAAATTTTTTTTTTTCTAAAAACTGCCATAACTTTTTCAAAAATGAATATATAAATATAATTTTTTTTTATAGATGCTTGATGTCTTTACCTATCATTTGGTATATTTTTTTTTATAAATCTGACCCTTTATCTGCCCACAGGGGGGGATGTAAATAGACAACTTTTTCACAAAAAATTAACTTTTTCAGCTTAACTTTTGAAAATGTTCCGGAAAGTCTGACACTTTTATATATATTTTAAATGAAAGCTAATGTAATACACTTTAATTTGAAAAAAAAAATTGACCTCTGGACTTGTCTTCATGGTAAAAATGGCTACCAAATGCTATTTTCGTGTGAAAATTCTCGATTTTATTTTTTACATTTTTAACTTTATAATGCTATAACTTATTGAAAAGTGTATAGATCAACACAATTTTTTATGAGAAAAAATATTTTTTAATAATCCATTTTTTATTCGACATACTTTATCTTAATCAAGATATTAATAAGGAACTAGCAGATCATGTAGCTTTTGGAAAAATATACCAATTTTTTAAATTAAACACTATCTAAATATTTGCATCGAAGAGTTTTTTATGATAGTGATTTTAATCACTGTCAGATATCATTATACTTGATTCAACTATGCCACGTCACCACTGTGCCGTGACCCCCCGTGCTGGGTTTTTTTTAAATTATCTACGATTACTTGTACTAATCATTGTGTATTAAGTTATTTTTCTTTCACCTAATGTCATAAATAATACAACTGTTGAATCTTATATTTTTCATAGTTGACCATATTTTATTTACGGTCTTTATACATTTGAAAAATACGTAGAAAAATTATCGAATAATATAAATATTGATATAAAAATTTCAACTCTATATTTTTTGAAATCAATACAATTATTAGAATTTTTTAACCATTTGTATAACAATGCATTTTTCAAACAATGTAAACTTCAATTCATGTATATAAATACGTCATTAAAATGTCTATAAATATTTTACTTTTGTAAAATCAAATTTACACAGTAATGTCATACTAAAAAAATTACAAATCGCAGATTATTTAACTCTTAAAAATAATATTTTATTATTAATTTCGTTTCATAAAATTAAAAAGCATGTTTAAAAAAATTATTTTATATGAGTTTTTCTTATTTTGTCAATTATGTCAAGTTTTATATGTATATTGTGATTCTCAAAGTGAATATTATAAGAAATACATTATTGATTCATTAAACCACATTCGTGTTCAAAATGGATGGGACTCAATTCAACAAACAGAAATTAAACATGAGCTCTTAACAATTAGTACCAACAGTGTCACAAGCGAAATTATCGATGAAAATAACTTAATACAAAAACTCTACTTTATAACTTGTCTCATAAATTGTGAATTTACTAATATAATGCAAACTTTCAATGCAATGTTAGGCTTTATTTTAAATAAGTGTGAAGTGCATGTTTTAAAAAGTCAATGTAATGAATTGAAATATTGCATAAAGATAATTGTTAAAACTTTTCATTATTCAATACATATGTTTAAAAACATGTTGAAAACAGCAAATTATCTCGATAAAATCGACCTACGAATTATTGACTCGCCTATTCTTAATATTAAAACTGTAGATAGCGAAATATATTATTTTTACACGTATGCATATGAGATTAGCAAAGATTCATTATTTAAAACATCTAGTATGGATAGATGGGTTAATATTTTTGAAAAAATAAAACATTTTTGTAAAAATGCTGAATTAATGATATCAAATCTTTACAAAAATAGAAAAGTGTGTGGGACAGACTATAAAAGTTCTATTTTAACCAATTTATTGATGAAATATAATATCGAGAAAATGGAAAAACTGGCAGAGGATTCCTACGATTATATTAATGATATTAATAAAGATTTTGAATTATATATGTTGGGTATATCTGAAAACTGTTACTCAAAACTAGGCTTTGAACAACTAGATGGAACAAATACGTTCAAGTAAGATTTATAGCTTGTACATTTAGTAGCTTAAATTTGAGAATTTTATTTTGTTAAGCATTATTTTAGTTATTTATTTATTTATTCACAAAGTAAATTTTTTACGATAATAACTTTGAGAAATTATACATGACTTTTTTTTTTTCTATACAGATATATTCATTTCAAGAGTAAGAAATATGGCCATAATGAAGGCATCGCATTGTGTAATCATTTTATATCTCAGCCTGGTTGGAAGTCATTGCAACATATAGCTGTTGTCACTGAATTTACAAACAGTAAATCACTAAATTTTAATGACATTATATGTACGGTTGATAAGAATAATTATTATGTCATGAGGACATATCTTGCACTTTTTTTAAGATGTCGCTATATTGAAATATTCCATAATTTTTATTTAATGTTGGAACATATAATTAATGTTTGTAAATATGAAAATAAAATTAATTGTGCGGTTAAGCTTAAAAAAACACTAATGAAATCCGATGATATGTTTAAAAAAATGTTAATTGCTCTCGTTACTTTGAGACTCTACAGAAAAGATAAAAAATATCGACGTCTAGAATTATCACTAGAGACAGTGGTAGAATTATTTATTGAATATCTGAATGATGTTAGAAAAAAGTATTTTAACTCATTGTTATTTATTAATGAGGGACTTTGTGAAGCTCAATCGTTTTTTGAAGAAGTAGCTCACTTTCTTTTTTTAGTTTTACAGTCGAAATTTAATGAGGTAATTCAATTTAACATGAAATATTGCAAAATTAATAAATTTGAATCAGACATAAACATAATTACAACATTTACACGATTGATTAAAACCAATACCTTAACAGAATATACTACTATTCATCATTTTATGTGTGATTATATGGAATTATTTATATTAAAGGTCGTGAAAATGGATTATGAATTTTTAGGTTTCAATGATTTGTTTTGTACAATTTGATTTTTTATTCAAGACTTAATAAAATATTGTATATATGCTATCATAAAATAATTAATTTTTCCTAAATATAGTTGTAATACGACAAAAAGTTGTCCTTCTTTTTTTTGTATATTTGCATATTATTTAAATATTTTACTTTGGTTGAGCCGATTTTGAAGCGTATAACCTCCGTGCTTTATCAGTATTGCTGTGCTTGAAGGTCAGTGAATACCCACCCGAAGACATTAATCGTATTCTCTAATTTTTAAAGTTGTAGGCATAACATTATTTTTTATATAAGTCTTATTTTTCTCTCTATATTTCTCGCCATTTTGTTCCCTTTAATTGTAGACGAAGCTTTTCGTATTTTTTTTTCATGTGAGCTTAGAACTTTAAAAAAAAAATTTAATTCGAAGAATTATTTAGATCCTAGTTTCATTTAATTTAGTTGCTTATTGTTGTTTGTATCACTAGGTAATTCTTCCAGCTTGTTTTTTATGGAGTTTTAAATCATAGAGCTTTAGTAATAGTGCCATACAAGATGAAAAAACGAAATGAAAAAAAAGTGCCCAAAATAACAAAAGATTTTTGATTTTAAGGTTTAATACGGTCGTAAGCCAACATGTTTTGTAAACATAATTCACAAGCGTTCATAGAAAAAACCGAAATTGCTACACCGGATATTAACTGGATGTAGACCATTTCGGGTTATAAATATTAATAATTGGAGACCATTTGAGACTAGTACTTAGAAATTTTTTATTTAATAATAACAATAATCAGCCTTAATTTCAAGAGGATGTTTTACATAGGCTGAGGTTGACCGCAAACGATTGGGTGTGCTCCGTGCTAACGCGCAGTAAATTGCTAGGAAAAAATATTATGCAACAGTAAGAGTCAATGAACAATGATAATTTGCTAGAATAAAGTTTATTGTTGGTGGCTATGTTTAATTATAGCTAGAAGTTTCAGTATTGGCAAAAAATTACTTGTCGGTAATAGCGATTAGTATCCCAAGTAAATGACTATTTAGTGAGGTTTACAATATAACTTCAAAAAAATAAAATAAATAGGTTGTCTCTAGATCAAAATAATAATTTCATTATTTTGAATTCATTTAATAAATCCACTAGGATATCAGATCATATTTGGTAGGAAATCTACCAAGATATAAAAATGTTAACTTGTACTGATCCAAAAATTGTTACGGACTTATAATTAATCATTTATTTTATAAGCTAGTTAAGTACAAATTAGGTTAAATATTTATCCTTATAAGGTATAAATGAGGGATTAAACAAGTAATTAATAAATAATACATTGAGAAATATATGAAACTAAAAACTACCAAAAAAACCTTCTTATAATAGTTATTTTTTTAAGAGAAATCAAGTAGAGCTAGCATTAAAACAATCATTTTATATATACTTAAAAGTACTAAGTATGTATTGACAATAAAAGTTAATGTTATAAATTGATTACGATATATCATAAGTTCATTTTAAGTATGAACAAACAAAAAAAAATTCTAATTTATAATACTGTAATTTATTTGAAGTATACTTTGAAAATTCTATTTCTAATTTTGATTTATTTTATTACAAAAAAATAATTTACTATTCTTTTAGCTTCGATGCGAAGTTGAGAAGGTATTGGTTTTACTAAGATGTGTTTTTTTTTGTGTCTGTTACCACTTTTTCTCAGCTTTCACTGAACCGTTATCTTTCAATTATAAGTCAAAAGATCACAAATCGTATCTAGTCGAAGACATTACCCTCAAAAATTGAAAAAAATTCCCTCGTTCCCCGTAAATGGGAGAAACCTCCAAAAAAATTAAAAATTTAAAAATCGCTAATTTTCGAAATTTTTTCAATTTTTTTTACTTAAAATTGACATAACTTCTTTAAAAATAACCAAATTAATATAATTTTTTCATATAGATGCATGATATCATTACCTTTCATTTGGTATATTTTTTTTATAAATCTGGCCATTTCCCTATATTGGATGGGAGTTCAAATCTAAAAAATGCATGTAGAAAGTAGAACTTTTTCAACATAACTTTTGAAAGTGTTCCAAAAAGTCTGACACTTTTATAAATATCTTAAATTAAAGTTATTGTAATATACTTTATTATGGTAAAAAAAAATTTGGGACTTTATTTTATCTTCATGGTGAAAACAAACATCAAACTTAATAAAAAAAAAAAGACTTTTGTAAAAAAATTCTTTTTTATATTTATAATTTTATAATGCTATAACTTTTTGAAAGATGTATGGATCAATATAATATTTTTCTATAGATGCATGATGTTTTTATCTATTATTTGGTATATTTTATTTTTATATCTGACCCTTTACCTGCCCACAGGGGGGTTTAAAATGACAACTTTTTAACAAAAAATTAACTTTTTCAACTTAACTTTTGAAAGTGTTCCAAAAAGTCTGACACTTTTATAAATATCTTAAATTAAAGTTAATGTAATATACTTTATTATAGTAAAAAATAATTTCGAACTTTATTTTATCTTCAAGGTGAAAATGGCTACCGAATGCTATTATTGTGTGAAAATTCTTGATTTTATTTTTTACATTTTTAACTTTATAATACTATGACATATTGAAAAGTGTATGGATCAACATTATTTTTTGTGAGAAATAATATTTTTTAATAATCTATTTTTCATTCGACATACTTTATCTTAATTAGGATATTAATAATGAACTAGCAGATCATGTAGCTTTTGGAATAATCCACTAATTTTTTAAAATTAAACACTATCTAAAGATTTGCATCGAAGCGTTTTTTTTTGATAGTGATTTTAATCACTGTCAGATATCATTATACTTGATCCAACTATGCCACGTCACCACTGTGCTGCGACCCCCCCGTGCTGGGTTTTTTTAATACGAAATTCTTAATAAATTCAAATTAAACTAAATTATTGTTGAAATAATACAAATTAGTAATCATGTTATACCTACTATTTGTCATTTTATAATTAAACAATTTTCACTGTAACAATATTCAGATAACAAATTGCTTAAAATAAGATCAATTTTAATTAATATAGGAACTAAAATTTTCTAATGGTATATGGCCTATCTAATGCTAAATAACAATTTTAAGATATGTATTCAGTGACTAGTATTTCAACACGTTCAGTGGGTATGTATTGTGTGTAATTGTATAATCCGCCTGCGTTCAATTCCATCCGATAATTTTTAAAAATTGTTATGGCTCATCAAAGTTATTTCCTGAAGAAGGCTAAAATAGTTATATCTAAGTTATGAAAAAATGATAAATAATTTTTTTTTAATACTTATAAGTAATAAAATATATGTTTTGAACATTTTTAAAGATAGCAATAATAACTAAAAAAAAAAGTTAAAAAAAATTATGTCGTTAATTAGATTTGAGACACCTGTACATTTAAAATGTAATACATATAATACAATTTGGTAATATTTAACTTTACCTAACAATTTGTAATTATGTCAAGTATAAAATATTAAAATAATTTTTCAAAAAAAAGTTACAATTGATAGTATAGAACACAAAATACAGAAAAAATGTTCTTGGTAACAAACGTGGTGATTTTATTATTCCTTAGCGCTATCAAGTCAATTGTGTATAATGAGGTAAATTTGTTTAAGGGTCATTTAATTTTATATATAATAAATCATTCATATGTTTTTAATATAAAGATTATATTTCTAAATAAAATGTATAATAAAGACTTTAAAACTTACTGAAATATCTTTTTTATTTAACTTGCAGTTCGTTGGAATTCTATGGGATATAATTATTTCAAATAGAAATCAAATATCGTATGGTGGAAAATTTTTAGATCTCCCATTTCATTATAAACCAGTGGATAAAGAATGGTGTAGAGAAAAATGTACAAGTTTGGGATTTACTTATAAGGAACCTAATATGAATCAGAAATTAACACCGAATATGATCCCGGTTGATATTTTTTTTAATAACCGATTATTGTACCACGTTTTATCAGAATTGATATGCAGGAATTATCGATTTTATTTTAGCATATATAGAAATACTGTAGAAGTATGAAATAATATATTTTCGATGTTTATATTTAAATTTTAATAAGTGAATGTTTTTATAAAATCAGAATCTAATTACAAATGAAGAAATCAAACGTTTTATTAATAATGACAGCTGGTTTGAAAATGTTTTAAAGCAACGAGTTCAAAATGAAAGATCTAGTATGATTCTGTTATGTGTTATATTTTTTGATATTTTTATACTACCTTATTATTACGGTGATACTAAGAATTTATTTATTTAATTGTTTTAAAACCATTCTGGAGCATTAAAACAAAAATATCTTATTTATTTCAAAAAAATAATTATAATACAATTTATATTATTTTTTTCCACAAGTGCGAGGACTTTATTTAATCAAAGATGTACTACGAATGAGCATCTTTCTAAAGACCCTATAAATAAAAACAGTTATTTTAATTTTTATATTACAAAAATCTTATTTTTGTTATTTTCTACTTCAGTAAAATATAAAGTACATTGGTAAACTTGAAATATATATCATTTTTGAAAGAGTATAAATATGAAGTTTGTTGTGAAAAAACTAAAAATGAAAAACAATATAATGTATTTTGGAATTAGATATAAAAATTAACATTTATTATTATAAATTTATCTTTAACATTCATATTGAAAAGTTATGCTTGTGTTAAAGGGGATGGGTAAACTTGTGCAATGAAATGAAACCACCGATAAAAACGTATTTACACCTCCCCGAATGAGCTGAGTAGATATAACTAATAAATATTAGTATTTAATTAAAATAAATCTGCTTTTGTATGATTTTAACATATTTCAAAAATATTACCTATTATAGTTTTTTTTTTGTAGCTCATTTTAAGATATTTGGCGAAATATATATTGCGATTTATTACAAATATTACCTCAATATTTTTTGTTATGTTATGAGGAGGGAGGAATCGGAAGCTGTAAGAACAGTTATAGAAATGAATGTTGAAGGAAGAAGAGGTAGAGTGATATGAGGACAGCTGATGTGAGTGTAGATGATGTGGGAGATCGTGTAAAGTGGAAGTTTAAGATAAGACTCCAAGTAGCTGAGATTAAGGCGAGGAAGAAAAAGAAGATAGTTTTAAGAATCATTTTTATTATCTCTTATGTTAGATGTAAACCCATAATTATTTTTGTACCATTATTTGCAGAATATACTGTATAAATATTTGACTAGTCGATAATTAATTTTTTAATATTACTTTTTGATATGATATAACTTTCAAGTGTGAGCAAAAGTAAATATTTAAATGCTAATATCTGAAAATAGTATTACAAAAATGGTCTATTCTTTAATAAATAATAATCACATTAAAAAATAACAGTTATTTTTATAAAAAAATTATTAATTTATAAAAATATTTGAAGGATTATTCTTAATAAATCACACTACGCATTTTGTTTACAGGTTTTAATTCTAACATTCGAGATTTGGAAATTTTTGCTGCAGCTCATTACTTAGATGTTTGTATTTATGTTTTTAAAGACAAGCTTAACTTATGGATGTATTTCCGAAAAGGGTGGCCAAACTATAATGAAGTTAATATGGAAAATGAAAAATGCATTTATCTATACGAGAATAATCATCATATTGGTGTAGTTACTAATGTTAACAATCCTTAATAGACATTTATACATAAATCAAATAATTTAATATATATAAAATTTATTACTATGAAATATTTTATTTATAAGTTGCATACAACTAAGAAAATGTACTGAAAATTTAAAAGGTTTCTTTTTAAGGTTTATACTAACTAAAAATCATAAAGATAAGTTATTAAAGTCGCAATCTATTGCATTTATCATCTAGATAACAGGAAATTCGAATAATCTGCAATATTGGTTAATATAAAACTATATAATTTTCGTTGAACAATAATAAATTGCTTAAAATCAGGTAAATTCTAATTAATATAGAAATCAAATTTTTCTAATGATATACAGTCTGTATCAGATCTATCTAACAATGCTTATAGTTTTTGATATAATTATCATTATTTCATAAAAATTTTATTTTAATAAACATTGCCTTTTTAGACTACTTTTAATGCATATATTAGCTTCGATGAAAATCTGAGAAGGTATTAATTTTACTATAATTTGTGTTTGTTACCACTTTTTCTTGGCTCTCATCGAATTGATCACTTTCAACGATACGTCATAAGATCACAAATCGTATCTAGTCGAAGATATTATCCTCAAAAATTTAAAAAATTTCCCTCGTTTTTCGTAAATGGGGGAAATCTCCAAAAAAATTATAAATTTAAAAATTGCTAATTTTTGACATTTTTAAAAATTTTTAACTTGAAACTGCCATAACTTTTTAAAAATGACCAAACCAATGTAATTTTTTTTTATATTGATACATGAAGTGCTTATCAATCATTTTGTATATTTTTTTACAAATTTGGCCCCTAACCTGCCCACAGAGGGGGATTCAAAATGACAGCTTTTTCACAAAAAATTAATTTTTTCAACTTAACTTTTGAAAGTGTTCCGGAAAGTCTGACACTTTTATATATATCTTAAATTAAAGTTAATGTAANCAACTTAAATTTTGAAAGTGTTCCGGAAAGTCTGACACTTTTATATATATCTTAAATTAAAGTTAATGTAATATACTTTATTATGGTAAAAAAAAATTCCGGACTTTATTTTATCTTCATGGTGAAAACAGACATCAAACTTAATAAAAAAAATACGATTTTTGTAAAAAAATTCTTTTTTATATTTTTAACTTTATAATGCTATAACTTTTTGAAAGATGTATGGATCAATATAATTCTTTTTGTTATAGATGCATGATGTCTTTACCTATCATTTGGTATATTTTTTTTTTATATCTGACCCTTTACCTGCCCACAGGGGGGGATTTAAAATGACAATGTACTTTATTATGGAAAAAAAAAATTATTTTTAAAATTTTTAATTTTATAATGCTATAACATTTTGGAAAATATATGGATCAATACTATTTTTTTATGGTAAATAATATTTATATACTTCATTTGAAATATTTTTTTTTTTTTAATCAGACCATTTCATTTTATTCAAAACTTAAAAATAGGAGATCATATAGCTTTTGGAATAATCCATTAATTTTTTAAAATTAAACATTATCTACCGATTTGCATCGAAATGATTTTTATGATAGTGATTTTAATCACTATCATCTATAACTCAACTATGCCACATACCCACTGTGCTGAGTTTTTTTTTTATTATTTATTCCTAATAAGAATATATTTAATATAATTATATAGAATATCCCTAACATGAAAATGTACTATTGTAAATTGTAATTTATTATATATTTTTCACAATTTCGACTTAGTAATTTTTAAATCCTTCCCTTACAAATAATTTTTATGGGTAGATAACATTTTTAAGATAAGTACCCAGTGACTAAGATTTCAAAACGTGCAGTGGGTATGTAGTGAGGGTAAAGGAAGTGGTATTCGCATTATCCGTCTGATTTCGATACTTTCCAAAAATTTGACCAAAACTTGTTATCGGCCTAACAAACTTTTTTGTTGTAAGAAGGCCAAAAATGGTTATATTTAAGTTATGAAAACAATTAAGTAAAATTAAAACTATATTAAAAAAACCCAGCACAGTGAGGTCGCGGCATAGTGAGGACGTGGCATAGTTGGATCCAGTATAGATGATATCTGACAGTGATTAAAATCACTATCATAAAAAACGCTTCGATGCAAATCTGTAGATAGTGTTTAATTAAAAAAAAAAAAATTGTCAAAAAAGTAGGGCAAATGAGAGCTGAGAAAATAAATGATAGCCACAAAAAAAAAACCACATAGTAAAATAATATTAATATGAATTTCTTCTCACGAGAGGAGACTACAGTAATGGAATCCTTGATATTTATTGAAGTTATTGAATCTAAATGAGATAAAAATCAAATGAGTTAAACACTTTTTTTTTAACTCAAAAAGAATTAAAAAAAAATTCACTGCCACAGTCGTGAAAANTTAAAAAAAAATTCAGTGCCACAGTCGTGAAAGACCCAAGTGTTACCGTCTCAAAAACCGTACGTCTCATTCGTCACTTAATAAAAATGGAAATTTAGCTAGTTCAAATTTTAAAGTTAGTTTTCTTGACTTCAAAGAAACAAAAAAATTTAAATATGATTAATTTTTTATACTATGTCATTTAGATTGATATAATATTTATGAAAATCAGTGTAATCCACTTATAATAAAATAAAATACAAAACCAAGAATTTTAACACAATAATAGCATATTTTTAAATACGGTAGCTATTTTCACCATGTATTCTCCTAATAAGATATTTTAAAAGAAAATAAAATACAAAACCTAGAATTTTAATAGAAAAATAGCATATTTTTGAATACGGTAGCCATTTGCGCATAGAAGATAGGTCGTCGGGACAAATTTTTTTTTAATTTTATAGTACATGACATAAGCTTTAGTTTGACATATGTTTAAAGGATGCAGTATTTCCAGAACATTTTAAAAAATTAAGTTGAAAAAAATTAGTTTTTGTAAAAAAGTTGCTATTTTAAATCCCCCCCAATGAGCAGGTTAACTGTTAGAATTTCAAAAAAAATGATATCATATGAAAGGAAAATATCTAAGGTTTCAATATAAAAAAATATTATTTTGATTTGTTAATATTTGAAAAAGTTATGGCAGTTTTAAGTACAAAAAACATCCTCATAGAAGGTGATTTTTATCGCAAATATTACATTTTTTTTAAATTTTGACAGCAATTTGCACATAGTAGATAAGGTGTCGGGACAAATTTTTTTCTTTATTTTATAGTACAAAAAATAAGCTTTAATTTGATATATGTTTAAAGGACGCAGTATTTCCGGAACATTTTCAAAAATTAAGTTGAAAAAGTTAGTTTTTGTAAAAAAGTTGCTATTTTAAATCCCCCCCAATGAGCAGGTTAAGTGTTAGATTTTCAAAAAAATGATATCAAATGAAAGGTAAATATTTAAGGTTTTAGTATAAAAAAAAATTATGTTGATTTGTTGATTTTTCAAAAAGTTATGGAAGTTTTAAGAAAAAAAAGTGAAAAAATTACGAAAATTAGCGATTTTTAAATTTGTAATTTTTTTGGATATTTCCCCCATTTGCGGGGAACGAGGGAATTTTTTTCAATTTTTAAGGGTAATGTCTTCAACTAGATACGATTTGTGATCTTTTGACGTATTTTTGAAAGAAATCGGTCCAGTGAGAGCTGAGAAAAAGTGGCAACAGACATAAAAAAAAAAAACACATCATAGTAAAATTAATACCTTCTCAGCTTCGCATCGAAGCTAATATTATTAATTTAAAAAACTAAAAAATACAATCTATATAAAATATGCAATAAGTACTTAAAATATTATATACAAGTAATTTTGAAAAAAAAACAACAATTAATGTAGAGGCCACCACCCACATTGCAATGTAATATTTCTAGAATATAACCAGAATATTTTAATTTATGTAATTAATTAATTAATTCCACTGGGACGATTGACGCTTGGTTTCAACATCATACTCGTAAATCTAAGTTTCATCACCAGTTATAATATTTTTTAAAAAGTTTTGTTCAGTTTCTACTCTTTCAAAAAGTTCTTGAGAAATGATTTTTCGGTTTTGTGTTTGTTCATCGGCTAAGAGACGAGGAACAAATTTGGCCTCCATTCGGCTCATGCCCAATTCTTTGGTTAATATTTTTTGGCAAAAACTATAAGATATTCCGCCGTCTTCTGCAACTTCTCTGATAGTTAATCGACGATTATTTCAAATAATTTCACGAACAAGAGCATCAATTTCATTTGTTTTACTGGTCGAAGGTCTACTAGGTCGTTCGTTATACTTTAAGGATGTCCTACCATCCTTAAACCATTTAAACCACTCAAAACATGTTGTCCGAGACAATACATCATCTCATAAAGCTTGGTTCAAAAGCTCAAAAGTTTCACTAGAACTTTTCCCTAATTTAAAACAAAATTTTACGCACACACGTTGTTCTTCTATTGTTTCCATTTCGAAAATCGACTCATGACTGAAACATGTTTTCGTAAAAATGCCATAAAATAAAAATAAATATTGTTATCGATTTCAAACCAATGCTCAAATCTCGTTAGAAGTTACTTTATTGAATGAAATTATCGGGATTTTGTTATCTTAATTGATATTAATATTACTAACACAGTCCGGGTATTTTTTGATCACACCTCGTAGACTGCCAAGTTTACATAACTGGAAGCAGTGTATGTGATGAATTATTTCCCGACAATTCAATCACAGCGAATTGATTTATTTATTATAATTACTTGATTTTACTTTATGCACACCCAAAAAAAAACCTCAATCAAAATTGAAAGAGAAATTTTANCCAAAGAAAAACCTCAATCAAAATTGAAAGAGAAATTTTATCAAGGGTTTATGATAATGTTTTATTAATACGAACAAAATAACTATTCTTATAAATAATTATTGTTCAAGACAAGAAAAAAAAATATCATATTGATAAATATATCATTGATTCAATAGTAATGATATATTTATCAAATTGAACAATGAATTTATTATATAGATCGAGGTTATTCTCTGGGTGCAATAACAAAAATACTTTGCTACTTGAATATTTTTATTTAGAAAATTATTAGATAAATTTAAAAAATATTAAATATACACTAAATACACAAAATTTTAATATTTTTCCCATACCCAAAAATAATAAAGGAAAATATACAAAAAAATCATTGTGCCGGGTGCGTCTCTAAGTGACTATTTTTGA